GAATCATAATAAAAAATCTGCGTCGACAAATTTACATAATCGACGTCATCGATTATTTCAACTAATCGGTGCAGCCCTAATCGCAGGTTCAATCATCCTCTTTTTACCCACRTATTTTTCCTTTCTGCTGACTTGTGTCCTGCTCCTACTTCACCTTTTTTTCCTGCTAAGACTTCCTGCCCTCATGTTACCAGGACGGGGCATCAGCGTATGAATCAGTCCTCCTGTGCAGGTGCTTTTTCCAGGTTGATGGTGTTTTGTTGTTGTTTTTGTTTTTTGTCAGTGTTTGTTTTGTTWGTCCACCTTATTCCGAGCCCCCCATGATCGAAAATCACTCCCATAATTATGGGGGGGCCCATAATTGCGTGAATTGTGGGAGCGATTTCCGATGTGAACCATAATCGGCATTTGTTTATGTATGAACAGTAACACAGTTTAATAATATAACACAGTCTCTCTGAGCATTGTTGATTTAAACATGTGGAAACCGTCTGACAGAGCTCAAACAGGACAATATGGTAAATGGACTGAACTTATAGCGCTTTATCGAGCCCCATTGGTCCTTTACACTACATTCATTCACCCATTCCAGTGTTTCACCTAGGAAATTGTTGGGGGGGGTGGGGGGTGGCTGCTTGTTTTATAAAAACATCAATTTACATGACTCAAATTCAATTATAGTATAATAAATTTACATTGTGATTATTTAATTGCCTACCTACATCCTAAAGTTAAGGACTCCTCATGATAATTATCAATAATAACTTATTGTAGTAAATTATCATTGATAATAAGTGATCAGAACTCTGTGCAGCAGATGATCTGAGTCCAAAGTTCTCAGTTTGAAACCTTCTGGAGCTCTTCTGTAGCCGTGTTTCCATCAATGTTTTTTAATGCACATTTTGAAGTATCACATCAGAAAAGGTGAATGGAAACGGTATGATTCGTAAAAACTTCCTCTAACTTGCATAAAAGTCGATACGCTCGCTTGAGGTTGTTTTCGTTTTTTTTTTTCTTTTTTTTTTCGAAAAACAGTTATGCGCAAAAGGAGAGATGGAAACACATTTGTCGAATCAGTTCTGACGTAGCAAACATTTACCTCACATATTGATCAGCTGTTCTCGCTGTCTGTCGCCCCCCTTGAATAATGGTAGGGAAACGCTTCAATCAGACACACATTCACACACTGATGGTGGTAAGCTACAATGTAGCCACACCTGGTCTGGTGCAGAGGCGGGGCTGCCATGCACCGGCACAGGTCTTGGCCAAAGATACAATGACTGAGACGGCTGGAATGAGGGATTGAACCGGCAACCCTATGGTTACAGGACAACTCCCCTAACCACTCTGCTTCAGCCGCCCCAATATAATCATTCCACCGCTACCATGGTCCTGGGGCAGGAGTAGGGTTGGGCAGTATTGGGAAAAAAATTAATCACGATTAATTGTGGTATTTAGTGGATAACGRTTAATTTGACGATTAATCCCCTGGAGTCCCTGGACACCCTTATGTCCTGGTCCCATGACCAGTTTAGTGGTAAAGATTTGCTCTTCATACAAATCTGTTCCAAATTGTGTCAAAATTACAGTCTTCAGGCTATACATCAAATTTTAAATTGTGTTGGTAGATAAATAAATTACAGAACTTTTTTTAATGTTTGTCATATTTGAAGCAGAGAGGAGCACCGAACAGACTGACTGGTGGCATTAATTGTATTAATCGTCAAATGCCAAAAAATAATCGATTAATGTTTTTCTGACGATTAATTGCACACGATACGATTATGCCCAACCCTAGGTAGGAGGATGAGCTGAATGAGTGCCTATGGGTTACATTTTGTAGCATATTTAGCGACTTCATCGGCTCGGTAGCTTCAGACAGTGAAGCAATGATCAACCTGAAAAGCTCTGAGATGTATTACTGTAMCTACACAGTAATATAATATTAATAAAAAAGGCCGGTTGTATTTTGGTAAAAGAAGTGGGGCATGATCTTATTTGCCTTAAAGCAGACAGAGCCAAAGCTACTCTGACTGAAGATTTGTCGTTTGTTAGCCCTGACCCAAGCCCTCTACAAAAATAAGGAAAACCTGGTACACCGTCACAGATAGAATCTAAATTTTAGATTAAGATTTAAGAAAAACTGCCTCGAGGATTTTTTTTGAACACGTCTGCCGTGAAACTACATTTTTAGTTTTGTGCCTGCCTGCCGTGCCATAAACATTTGTTGTATATTAATTGCAGATAAAATTGTAATGCCAAATACGAACAAATAATACTGTGCTCTTCATAAGCCTCATTCATAAGACGGCTCAGTCAGGGACTGACACGTGTTCTGTCCTCCTCTGGTCATTCAGAAAAAACACAAAGGTGGAAATATGGGTAAAGTGAGCCAGCCTCTGATGGCCCTATGAGCCCTCAAGTGAGGTAGTATCAAAGCCGGGCCCGAGCCGGGAAGACCGACTTGAGAAAAAGCAACCCACGGTTCTGCGCTCAGAAAATGATAATGAGCTGATGACATCAGTGAGACACTGCAGGATTAATCAACAAACAGATTTATTACCGAGGGGATAGGCTATGTTAAACACAACACAAAACAGCCACTTTGTTATTTGTCAGAGCTTGTAGGACGTTAAAAAATGATGAATAACATCAAATAACCATCTTACAGTTCTGCCACCAGAAATAAGTTATCCCATCCTCACTTCATCCTGCTCCTGCTGCGGTCGCTACCCTCACCCCCGTTAATTGTAATTAATACTGATTTGCAAAAATACGCATTTTTGAGACTCGCTGTACAGGTAAACATCCGAAGGGGTTGACATGTATGYTTTGTTGTTGGTTTCAAAAATGATGAACCACAAGWTCGCTAAAGTGAGCTCATTCARTTTGTTTTGTTTGATAGGGAGGCAGACATCAGAAGGTGACCACAAGATTAATCAACAGATTAATTATCGAGGGAATATTAAAGACGATGCAAAACAGCAACTTTGTAGTTAGTTTAAAAGATATTGAACCACAGGATCACTAAAGGAAGTTTATTTTGTTTGATACGAGACAGACGTCGTCACACAATAAATAGGCTACGTCGTGGTCCACTTCAGCCGAGCTGAGATCTGCTCCACCACGCCTCTTTTGGTTCCGCCYTGCTAGATTTATTTTTGAAAACGTACACGTGAGTGGGACCTGGCCGGCTTCCCCTGTGATTTATGAATRACSAGAGGGAGCTTAAAGCTGGACTGATTTGTGAAGTGACTTTTGAAAGAGGCTATACACTTGAAATCATACAATATTCTCGTCMCACTTTTMATTTTTTCAAACCTTCTGAGGATCYGGCATCTTTTTTTCCGGTGGTTTGTTGTAACTGATGCACAAAGCTGGATGCCGGTTTCCCTCCAGCGGCCCTTTGTAAACAAAGTGTAATAAGCAAACGTGAAGAGTTGTGGTGGTCGCATCAGCCACATGCTTCTTGATTCCTCATCTCTAGGTAGGYGATGGAAACTATACCGCTTTTGTCAGGAACACTTTTTTTGTTTCAGGTTCGTGTTCAAAACACTTGTTGTATCCATTGATACAGTTTGTTTATTCTGGTTGTTCATGCAGCTGGGAACAGCACAACAAGTACCTGAAATAATGTCAACAAAACAAAAAAAGTTTGTTTTGGTAATCCAAAGAAAATTAGATTCAAATAAACCTCGGTCAGTGCTCCGCTCGCTACCTTGGTTAACCTAAGCTTCCGGCGGCTACTTCCGGTGTTTCTGACAGGAAGTCTTTCCCACAATCATTTCAACTGTAGAACCCMCAGGAATAAGGTGGATTAAAATTGCTTATTAAAAATCTTTGGGGCTCTGTAATAGCATTGACCTAAATATATCAGGGCTCTTCTTTCATTCAGCCGATTCACGTGAATTWCTCCCCGTCATTGTAGCAGCTGGTGTTTGCAAACCTTTTATCCCCATCCTTTCCTTCTCTCCTCCTTCCTTCGTTTTTCTTTTTTTCTAATTTTCTATTACACTTTTTTCTCAAAGAAAATTGGTATTTGCTTGATGTTTGCTCCCCTCCTCCTTCCCGTCCTTGCACCCCCTCTGTTGTCGGTCAGAGTGGCAGAGGATTAGGCACACTCTATCAAGAAGAAATTAAACAAACATCTGGTGAATAATTGACGGGGAAATGAGTTCTCACCCAAGCGCTTGGTGGCTGAGGGGGCTGGGATAGAGGGGGGGTTGCCTTTAGGGACATGGCCAGCCCCCCCCCACCACCCACACACACACACACACTCCTTGCCTGTGTGTCTGTGCTTAACGCCATGACAGACTCCTTTCAGGTCCTGCTCAAGCCCCCCAAACTGGCCCATTATCTATTTAATTTCACGTTTTTTATTTCGCTTCAGGTCACTTAGAAACACAGTTCAGGTGCCTGAACCAAGTCCGAGCAGAATATCTAACATACTTTACTAGATGTCATAAGCTATTATTGATTTTCTAACCAGCTCCACAAAGCACTTTACACTGCTTATTATTTTGTCATGTTTGGCTTTTTTCAGACTGTGTACGGAAAAATTCTGGACATAGAAAAGAAGCAAGATAGTCTGCGAGCTAAAGGACTCTTCTCTACTGATCCCAAGGCAATGTAAGTTCAAAAAGAAAACATTACAGATTTAATAATAATAATAATGATAATAAAAATAGTAATAATGATTAATATATTTTTACAGCATTTGTAAATGTCAAAGTGTTACATCTCAAGAGTCATAAAAAATAACTGAATAAAAATCTGTAAAATCAGTTATGGCCATAACACTGACAAAACAAAGGATTTAGCAGTCTAGGGTTCTCATAGGTGATCTGGAAGTGGATTCCACAGATGAGAAGCAGCGGAGCAAAAGCCTCAGTCCCCCATGGTTCTGAGCTTTGTTCTGGGAATTTGAAGCTGGGATTACTTGTTGGAACAGAGAGAACAAGGTTTGATGTGTGGCAGGAGCAACTCTTTACGGTAGAGGGAGAATATTGCCACATATTCACTAGTGTGAAAGGAGGCCGGTCTTGTGCTGRACTCTGGCAGAGACAGGAAGCCGATGAAAAGAATTACAAGACCTTTTTGGTAATTGCCTGGCAGCACGGTTTTGGATGAACTAGAGTTTTTGAAAGAATGTAATTGCAATAGTCCAGTCTTGAAGATGCAAAGACATGGGCAAGTTTTTCATTGTGCAACAGATATTGACCCTTTTGCATGTGACGTCACGCGCTTCAGAAGACCACCCACTTGGTCATGACGCACATCAAAAACAATCTGTGCGCAAGTAAACTGTACAGCTAGTCAAAAAGCAGACAGTTGGTGGACAGTGGGTCCTCACAATAAACTAAAACAGCCCATGCAGCAGAGAGGAGCAGGGAGGAGGATGGGAAGAAGTGGAGAACTTATTTCTAGTAGCAGAGTGGAAGATGGTTATTTAGTTTTATTTATTTTGTTTTGTTTTTTACACGTCATACAGTCTCTGAGATGTAACATAAAATAGAAAACGAGTGTTTGWAAAAACACACGTCAGCCTCTCGACTGACTTGGAACACCTTGGAATCCCCCCAGAAGAGCTGAGGGGGCTGGGCAAAGAGWGGTCTGGGCTTCTCTGCTCAAGCTGCTGTGACCCGACTCCGGATAAAGCAGAAGATAATAGATGTATGGATGTTTGAAAAAATCTGTCAGATACATCCATATACCCACTAAATGGGGATAAAAATCATGTAATTTACTGACAGTCACATGGATTTTCCCCCATTTTGCAGACGGACGTAGCTATTCCATTCTAAAAACAAAACTCAGCTTCAAGTTTATTTTACGTGTTAGAGCCCGTAGGGTGTGAAAAAAAAAAAAAATTAAAATAAATAACCAGCTCAGTCAGATTTTTGAGGATCAAGATGCAAGTAAACATCTGAAGGGGTTGACGTGTGTGACAGAGAACTTTTGTCTATTTTACTGTTTTGCTGAGGCGGCACGGTGGCTCAGTTGCCTCTCAGCAAGATGGTCACCGGTTCAAATTCCGGTCCGGGGACATTTCTGGATAGAGTTTGCATGTTCTCTCCGTGCATGCGTGGGTTCTCTCCGGGTACTCCGGCTTCCTCCCACAGACCAAAAACATGACTGTTAGGTTAATTGATAACTCTAAATTGKCCCTAGGTGTGAGTGAGAGAGTGAATGGTTGTTTGTCTCGTTTGTCTCTATGTGTGGCCCTGTGATGGACTTGCGACCTGTCCAGGGTGTACCCCGCCCCTCGCTCTGTGACTGCTGGATATGGGCACCAGTGACCCACGTGACCCTGAAAAGGAAGAAGCGTGTACAGAAAATGGATGGATGGATTTCCTGTTTTGCTGTGTAAACTTTTTTAAATACAGTAATCTATGAGCCCAACTATGTYTGCTACTTCCACAAATTACTGTAGCTCAACTTCAACAATTAGGCTACAACCCCTGGCAAAAAGTATGGAATCACCAGTCTTGGATGARCACTCATTCAGACATTTCATTCTGTAAAACAAACTCAGATCAAAAACATGATACAATAATAAGGTCATTCCAAAGTGCAACTTGTTGGCTTTCAGGAACACTCAAAGAAATGAAGAGAAAACATTGTGGAAGTCAGTGAATGTTACTTTTATTGACCAAGCACAGGGGGGAAAAACATGGAATCACACAATTCTAAGGAAAAAAGTATGGAATCATGAAAAACAGAAAAAGAAGAGACCATCCAAAAGACATCAATTGTATTTAGTTGCACCACCTTTGGCTTTTATAACGGCTTGCAGTCTCTGAGGCATGGACTTGATGAGTGACAAACAGTATTCTTCATCAATTTGGTGCCAACTCTCTTTGATAGCAGTTRCCAGATCAGCTTTGCAGGTCGGAGTCATCTTGTGGACCTGTTTTTTTCAGTTTCCACCACAGGTTTTCAATTGGGTTGAGATCTGGGCTATTTGCAGGCCATGACATTAACTGAATGTGTCTTTCTCCAAGGAATTCCTTCGCTGTTTTTGCCCTATGGTACAATGCATTGTCATCTTGGAAAATTATTTCATTACCTCCAAACATCTGTTCAATTGAAGGGATGAGAAAACTGTTCAAAATGTCAATGTAAACTTGTGCATTGATAGAAGAATBAACCACAGTCATCTCCCCAGTGCCTTTGCCTGACATGCAGCCACATATCATGAAGGACTGTGGAAATTTGGTTGTTTTCTTCAGGCAGTCCTCTTCATAAATCTCACGGGAACGGCACCAAACAAAAGTCCCAGCATCATCACCTTGTCCAATGCAGATTCTTGACTCATCACTGAAGATAACTTTCATCCAGTCATCCACAGTCCATGATTGCCTCTCCTTAGCTCATTGCAGTCTTGTTCTTTTTTGTTTAGGTGTCAATGATGGTTTTCTTTTAGCTTTCCTGTATTGAAATCCCATTTCCTTTAGGTGATTTCTTATGGTTCGGTCACATACATTGGCTCCAGCTTCCTCCCATTTATCAGGGTTCCTGCGGATCCTTAAAAAGTCTTAAAAGGCCTTGAATTCATCAATCCAGAAATAAGGCCTTAATTAGCCTTAAAATGTCTTAAATCAATCTTTCAGAAGTCTTAAAAATGTTAATACATTGTAAATAGGATGATTGTAATTTGTATCAAATATTAAAATAATTGGTAACATTTTTTTTATTTTTGAATTATTCACTTTAAAACATTCCCTTTTGACACCACTTCCTGTTAATTCACATGAAAATATCTCAACAACTGTTCATCTGAACAATGTGACATTTGTTTTGTAAAATGTTAATAATGTTATCTTTCCAAAAATGCATTCATATTTCRTGCAAACATTTTCCATCACAGTAGGGCTGCACCGATTAGTTGAAATAATCGATGACGTCGATTATGTAAATTTGTCGACACAGATTTTTTATTATGATTCACTGTATTACATAACCACCACGTGAATGTTCATGCAATTCCATTTCGGTACCTAAAAGCATCATTGCGACCGTATTGGCATAAGAGTGGTGAGTTTTCCATGCTTGTTCTGAACGCAGCATCGCACAAGAGCGTAATGACGTCAGCAGCCGCTGCTTCAGTTCAGTCTGAAGCTTGAAAACAAGCCCCGCAGCTCCTGGAGTAAAATTTACTGAACAGACCGCCTCTGAGTTATCTGGTGGATTAATTATCTTGTGAACACGACGTTCGCTTGCTCAAAGTA